TTTCAAGCCCTGTATATATATATATATATATAATTAGTTCAGGTTACTGATTACATAATTCTAAGGGTGACTGTTTATATTGACACCAACATCTCTCTTCTTTTCACAGATTTCTTATAGTGCTGATATGCCTTATTTTCAGTGTGCTTTCTACAATAAAGCAGTATTCCAATTTGGCCACAGAAACCTTATTTTGGATGGTATGTAATTGTGAAACATCTTCCTAATACTAATATAATGCTGTAAAGTGAAACTGCAGGCAGACTGGATAGTGGTAACGGTTTGAACCGACTGGAGAGAACACCAAGAACGAATCCATATTTCTCTTTTGTTTAGAGGCTGTGTCAGGTTTCTTCTGTTCAGCAGGTGTCTATAGTGTTTAGGTGCCTATAGCCCTATGAGGGTTGTTGGATAAGATGTGCATAGAGGATTAATTATGTGAATGAAGGAGGATAATGCAGCATGAAGCTCCATATGTTCCTTCGCTTGCATACTTTAGGGAGGGAAGAACAATTTTGACAGATTTTCTGACATCTGGTTAATGATCCCATAAGAATGGTCAGTCAATGTACAAAGGAGGACATATTGGGCCTTTAGATCCTGATTCTTCTTTTTGCCCAGTGCTCCTACATATTCCCAATTTGTATATTACACATTTATCCAGTATTCATCCCAAGCAGTCTTCAAAGGAGACCTAGTTACATTTTGCATTTTAACTGAAGTATAACTAAACCCAAGTAATTGTAATTAATAATAAGTAATGTAATTTTTTTGCATCATACCTGCCCTTCGATGTGGTGAGTAAATGTATTGCTATTTTCAAGTAAAGAGCCTTTTCACTTGTTGATCTTGCCAGAAATGAAAAGTCCTTGTCATGTCCTTTGAATGAATAAACTGGATGCCCAAACAATGTTATATTTCTTGTGTAAATTGCTCATCTCATCACCCCCTCCCCCCACCCACCTATGCAATAGTTTGAAATCATGCCTTGGCGGCAACCAAAAAGCATGGAAAAAATCAAATGAATGCAGCCACTGGTAACCTGCATTGTATTAAATGTTTGATTTTGGGTTTAGATGCACTTAAATAGCAACACGTGTCTCTGTTGCATGTGTTTCAAATCATATGTGGAAGTCCCAAACCACTTATCAAGGTGCTTCAAAAAGTGTGGTTCCTGCTATGATAAATGAGAATGCCAGAACTCTGACATTTTGTTTTTCAAAACTGAAGACTTTTTTTTTTTAAATAAACCAAGTGCAGTATCCTACAACAAACCATCAGAAATTAGCTCTCTTTCATGTGACTATATTAAAGTGAAAGGTGACTGGGTTACTGTGGGTTTCTTCACTTAGAACCTCATAATACTTCTTAACACTGCATTACGGAATAAGGTTTTAATTTTGCTAAAGCAGAATTATACTTATAAGACCAACTGCCCTCCCTCACCTTTTCCATCCTACAGATGACCCCATTACATATCTCAGATGAGCTGGTGACTTCCATCACAGGACGTGGCCTACACTGATTTGGTCAGCTCCAGCCCTTTTTATTGAACTAGTGCAATGTACTGTGAATGCACAGTGGTTTCTCCATAGGACATCTGAGGTTAAAGTGACACTAAACTCAGGAGTTTAATCTTAAAAATACACTCAAGTTCCCTTTTTGTTACTACTCAAGTAGTAACAAAAATATAGCGTATATGTGCATCACTCAGCTGTGGATCCTCCAGTCATCTCTGAATTGGTGCTGAAACTGTCCTTTCTTCTGGAGGGTAGCTACTTTTGTTCTCCATGATCCCTGTGTTTGTTTGCAAGCTCGATCCTGCAATGGACTACAATTTCGGTACAAATTGGTAAACTATACCTGAAATTGTAGTTCATCACGGGAGTGAGCTTGGAGCGTTGACTACTTTACAACACACACAAGGGCCATGGGGAACAAAAGTAGCCACCCTCCAGAAGGAAGGACAGTATCGGCACCAAATCAGAGATGATTTGAGGATCTACAGCCGAGTGATACACAAATAAGATACATTTGCGTTAATAGTTGGGGTACCCGAAAACATTTTTAGAATTTAACTCCTCAGTTCAGTGCCTCTTTAAGTAAAAGGGTATTGGATAGGCTGAGTGGTTTGACCTTATTTAAAACTACAGTTCTCCTTTAATGCAATGGCCACTGGTTTAGCAGCTGCTAAAAAAAAGAATCCTCTTTTTTTTTACAATTTCTTTTTGCAATGTATACTTAATAAAGTATAAGGAATTCCAAGATATCTGCCAGCACACAATCAGATTTGTGACAGAGCCCAACGCCCCTCAGAGTAGCTTGCGTCTATGATTTTAGAAGTAATGTACATGAAAGATACATTCTGGGTACTAAGAACAATGTGTGCTAGGTCAAATGTTACTGCCAATTATATCCAGGAGCCAACAAATGTTTTCTTTGTGATATTTCTAATTAAATAAATCCCACAGTACAACATTGCACATATGTGTAGCTGTGTTTCTGGTTCGCATAGTGCTTTAGTTCTAGACCTAAAACCCATCGCTTCCCACTTGCGTGAGCTTGCGATCACAACTCCGTGTACAGTCATGTGAAAAAGTGACTACACCCCATGGAAATTGCTGGCTTTTTCAGATAAAGGTTATATACTTGAACAAATGACACAAGACAATTGACGTATATTCCTTTTCATATTCTAAATGAACTAAAATGCAGATTTGTCTATAAGAAAATTATGTAGACCCCTACATTTCCCACCACTTGCGTTCTTGAGTTATTAGTTATACAACTGAGTTATCAGTTATACTGTATGAGAAAGATACTGCTTTGTGCATTCTCAATTATAATTTTAAATCTCTTGGATGGGATCACAAGTTAAAATGGTATGTTGTGTTAATGCCACTTAATATGGTTGCACTTTAATGAGTGTGCAAGAAAAAAAAATGTATATATATATTTTTTAATAATTATTATATTAATTTTTTTTATCTATAGGAAATTGTTCTGGTGGTATTTTTTGGAGCAGAATATGTTGTACGATTGTGGTCTGCAGGTTGCCGAAGCAAATATGTTGGGGTTTGGGGAAGGTTTCGCTTTGCTAGGAAACCCATTTCTGTTATAGGTAAGCACTTTTTGATTGTGTTTAAAATGCATTTTGGAAGTGTCTCTCTTGCTAGTTAACTTTTCAACTATTAGTATACTGCCAGTGCTTTAGAGGTGTGTGTATGTATATATGTATATGTGTGTATATATATATATATATGTGTGTGTGTGATTTACATATCTATATAGATATATATCTATATATCTATATCTATACGCACACACCGAAAACCTGCAGCTTAGGATTCAGGATCCCTCATATTAATTATCACATGTATCTATTTATTTATTTTTGCATTCTCTTGGGTGACCTGTGGCACAGTAACAGATGTATCTTCACCTTAAAAAGCTTTGAATATTTTTGAACTTCAGCACTGTTGGAAATTAACAAAATGTTCTATTTTGGTTCTTGACTCTGCTTAGCTATGATATGCTGAGAAGGAAGTGTAGCCACACTTGGGTTCTGTTCCGATATTGTTAAGTATAATCCCCAAGGGAACTTGATAAGCAAAAAGCTATTTTTTAATAGAATGTAAAATAACGTGTTGGAGAGTTCTACTTTATGGCTTTATAGTTGATCTTCAAACAGATGTAAAAAAACATTTCGTTTTTTTTATTCATTAACCTCTTGCCGTCCGCCCGTAGTAAAAAAACGGACGGACGGCACTGCAGCATCTGCGGGTTGCCGTCATAAATATCTTTATATCAGCAGCCCTCAGACTGGGGGAGAGGGAAGGTCATCAATCTTGGCCACTCTGGCTTTGCTGCATGCACTAGGCTTGACGAGGAACATGCTGATGAAGGGACAGAGATGAACTGTTGCTGCTCTTTTGCTGTCCAATCCTAGTCTAGGACCAATTTGTGTTACCACAGTAGAGAAGTCAGGTCAGCAACCTGGCTGTGCGGTCTGACAGGGCTTTGTAAATCGCACAACTGGCTAGACAAAATGTGCACATGGTTTGTCAGATCAAAAAAGCTTCCATATGTGTAATTCCACTGTATATTTAATGGTCTGCCTGAAGTTCATAGTTAAATATAATATGGTCTTTAGTTAGTAGTGCCTGTTGTGCCCAAAACAGATGGCGTTTTCCTTATCTTTTACATTGTGTGATCTGCTATGATCAATTCATATCATTACTTTTCCTCTATTGTCCATTGAGGCACACAGCTCTGAAGAATTCTTAGATGTAGGGTTATGCTACTGGCTCTAAAAGAAATGGACACTAGGCGCAAAAAATAAATAATTTAAAGCTTGTCACTTTAAGGCTATAACACCTCACACCTGCCAGTTTGTCCTTAGTGTCCTCAGGAGCATAGATGTCTTCTGCTCTTCTTTATTATTTTATTTCTTCTTTGAAGATTCTACTAATGAGAGCTGCTAGTTGACAGTCTCTCTTCTGACTATAAAGTCAAATGTCTCCATGGTACTTTGGATCTTGGAAGTCTTTTGGGTGGATTTTGAGCACCGAAAAGTTGTCCCTTGTTTCAGTGCATCGCTTGAAATATATGGGTCTTCTGTTCCTTCCTCTAGAAATCTGCTGAAGTTGTGGGATCAAGTTCAGTCATTTCGGTCTCCTTGCCCTCTGAGAAACTGTATGATAGTTCTGGGTTGATGTTGTCCACTTTTGAAGCAGTACCGTTTTCTCAGTTACATTCCAGAACTTCACATAGGAACTTTCTTAAAGCATGGAACAAGTCTTTTCTATCGCTGTGCAGGATGATCAGATTTAGTGCTTTTGCCAGAATGTTTCAGATGTGATGTCAACGCAGGGCTTGTCAGCCAATAGGGAAGTCTTCTTTTTTTATAATTTGAAAGATCGTCACGTTGGATGCCAGTCTTGTGTGATGGGGTGGTGTCTTCAATCAACTATCTACGCAGGGTTGATGGTCGCTGGGGGGGGTTTATTTAAATTGATGTGAATCCATGGGGTTTTCCCCTCGTGGTTTTTCTATATTGAGAATTTTGTCTTTCCTTCAGCTGAGGGTAGATCAATGTTTAGCTCTAAATACCATAAAATGTCAGACCTTTGCCTTGTCGGTCCTTTTTTCATTGTCATCTTGCTTCTAATTTCTTAATTTGTACTTTATTCAGGGAGTTGCTCATGAAGCTCCTCCTGTTAGGGCTCCTTTTCCTCCACGGGACTTGAACTTGGTTTTATCTTTTTTATTTTACAAAAACCTCCTTTCGTACAGGATTTTTTTTGTTTTTTGTTATCCAAGAACTTTGCCTTTCTTATGACCATTAGCTTGGGTGGAAGGGTTTCTGAGTTGTCTGTGCTGTCTTGTAGAGAACCCTATTTGGTTCTTCATAGGGAGAAGCTTGTTTTGAGACCTGCAGGTTTCTTCTTTACCAAAATACCTTTCATTTAAATGACGATTTTGCTTTACCTTCACTTTGGCCAGCTCCTGTTCATTCTAAGAAAATGTATCTTCATTGTTTTGGATATAGTGCGGGCTATTAGAGTGCATCTCTCAGCCACAGCTTCCGTTCAACGTTTTGGACTCTATTTGTTCTTCCAAAAAATTCTAGAAAAGGTTGTTTGGCTTCTAGATTCACCATTTTTAAGTGGATTTGTCAGCTTGTCATTCAAACTTATAAGTTATGTGACAGGCTACCTAATTTTTCCTTTTTATGTACATTCTTCTAGAGCAGTTAGTACTTCCTGGGCATTTCAAAATCAAGCTTCTTTTACTCATAATTGTTCTTACCATAAAATCCTTTTCTCGGAGTCCATTGAGGGACACCGCTCCCTCCCCTCATTTCCTTATTTACCTTTTGCTACAACTGGCAGGTGGGAGGGGTTATGCCTTTAGTGACGGGCTTTTAATGTGTTTGCCTAGTGTCCATTTCTCCTAGAGGCAGCAGCATAACTCTATGTCTCAGAATTCTTCAGAGTTCCGTTCCTCAATGGACTGAAGATTTTATGGTAAGAACAAAATCCTAATTTTTGTTAAAAGGAGTTGACTACAGCATTATTACTTTGTTGTTATTATTATTTATTGTTGCTACACCTACATCGTGACTGTATAAATCTCCTCAGGTACTGGTTATAAATAGTAGGGATGGACTGATACCTGTTTTTCGGTATCCAGTACCGTTATTTTTTTCCGGTACCCGCCGATAACGAGTACCGATACCGGTGCCGTGTGCCCTGATTCTCAGGAAGTCGGGCGACGGATCATAACCCGTCGCCTGGCTTCCTGATTGCCTGGGAAGCCGGTTTTCTATCGAAAGAACACAAGCTTCATTTGCTGAGGCTGCCTGGCTTCCCCTGACCAATCAGTAAGCAGGGTGGCGGGTCATGAGGTACCACCCGGCTTCCTGATTAGGTCAGGAAGCCAGGCTGCCTAGCAACAAGTGAAGCCGGCTTCCTAGCCAATCGGGAAGCTAGGCGGAGCGTCATGACCTGCCTCCCGGCTTCCTGCTTGGCTAGGAAGCCGGCTTCATTTGTTCCTAGGAAGCCTGGCTTCCTGATCCATCAGGAAGCCGTGTAACTAGGTGCCGCCCGGCTTCCTGATTGATTGGAAGCCAGGCTGCCTAGCAACAAGTGAAACGAGCTTCCTAGCCAATCAGGAAAAAGGGAGACAGGTCATAACCCACCGCCAGGCTCCATGCTCCATCAGCACTGCCAGTCACAGGGAGATCTCCGTCTGACCGGAAGTTCCAGTATCGGAGCGAGCACGAGTACTCACCCAAATACTTGCTATCGGCACCGATACTAGTATCGGTGCATCCCTAATAATTAGGATGTCTGTTAATAGGCCTTTTCTTCTTTTTCAGATTTAATAGTAGTTGTAGCCTCTATCATAGTCCTTTGCGTGGGATCAAATGGACAAGTATTTGCAACATCAGCAATTAGGTAAAGACACTTTTAACATGACATGAGATCATGGAATGTTATTTTGATAGCTAGGCTATATGAAAATGTATTTTTTTTTTTTTGCAGTGATTCGTAACTTTAAGCTGGCCATACACCTATAGATTATCTGCAGAGTTTCTATGGTCAGATGGAAAAAGTGCAACAGATTCCTCGATCTACGCTAAACGGTGTGGATGGAGGAATCTCCCACTGGGCCAAGCTTCAGTATCTTGCTAGTCTGCCCGGCTGGCTCTCAAAATACCTGAACAATGCCTCCATTCAATCAGTTTGTTCAGGTATTTTGACAGCCAGTGGGGCCGACTAGCAAGATATTAGAGCTTGGCACAGTGGGAGATTCCTCCATCCGCACAGTTTAGCGTAGATAGAGGAATCTGTTGCACTTTTTCCATCTGACCATAGAAATCTGCAGATAATCTATAGGTGTATGGCCAGCTTTACCTGGTCATTTTGCTCAAAACCATTAGGCCAGGTGACCCCAACAATGACATTCTCAGTCTTTTTGATCTTAATACCCGAATTTTTCAATTTGACAGATGCATATATACGATAACTTATTTTTAGCTTGTGCAACCTAGTGGTGGTTTCGTGGATGGTTGGTTAAAAAGCCTTGACACACAGTATTACTGATTGAAAATTGTAAACCAGGTAATTTGCACTCAGGACTTCTGCAGTATAAAATAGCTTAGATGACATTAAGCACTTTTTATTAGATGACATTAAAATCTGACAATAAAAAAATACACTATCAAGTCATAGTACCGATTGTTTGAGTCTTGGGAGTATTTTTGTATTGCTGGATTTTTAAAATACTGTAATAAAAAGAATACTTTTATTCTGTAGAAGTTGTGCGTGCAGATTACTTTTTTGCTGAAACTGAATAAACTATTTGCCAAAAAAGTGTTTATTTTGGCGCAAGGGAAGCTTTAAGGTGTGCTCTCTATACAGCAAGTAATCGAAAAGTGTGGACTTGATGCATCTCTAAAACAAAACAAAAAACCCACAATGATCTTTTTACTAGATATTAGGTCAAATTGGGGCAGTGTTTAGACCTGTTGATGTCAGTTGTAATAACAAGAGCGCAATAAACTTGTAGTAGTTACTTCATGTTCTAAGCCATTTTGGCTGTCTCACTCTAGTGTAGCAGAGCCTCCAGGGTGCCCTGTAGGGGTCATTAAAAAAAAAAGGGATATCGGAGATTGGCAAAGGTTAAGCTGATATTTTTTTTTCTTTTATCACATTTGTGTCCTAGGTTTTAACGTGTATCTAAATATATTGCAGCTTACCATTCTTTAGATGTGGTTGCTGCATTAGCTGTTTTCTCCCTTTTTTATTTTCACCTGATTGTTCAATCATCACAATTCGTTTGTGTCTACTCCTATGTCTCCATTTCAAAAACCGGTTCCCAAAATGTATAAATTACATGGAACAATTATCATGTGTTTTGGTTGATCAATCTTCTTGGTCTAAACATGATTATATTTATGTCTCTTATCTGAATATTCTTTTGTAATATATCTGGTGTTGTCTGGCAGAGGGATCCGATTTCTGCAGATCCTACGTATGTTACATGTTGATCGGCAAGGTGGTACATGGAGATTGCTTGGATCGGTTGTCTTTATACATAGACAGGTATGCGCACTTCCGCTTCTGTACTAATAAATTCAATAGAAGCCTGCCAGGAGCTGACCCAATGACTTTGATACTTTAAGTCTCTGACCTGAAAAAAGCAAGGAGATAAGGGCCTCTAACTTTTCTCTGACTCCCCTGATCTATGTACCTGTTCAGTTAGGAAGGGTGTACGCGGTTAGATTTTTGCACGAACATTCATACAAAAAAAATCCGTCTGAACTTTTGATACTGGCACTGGTACCTGACGATTTGTCATATGAAACTTTGTTTAATTTCTGTTTTTATTAAACATTCGATTTGGGAATAAATGGAGTTTATGAAATTTTCCAACATGCTCCTTCAACTTTTTTCGTCTTTGTCTTTAACGATTAGAAAGTCCAATGAACGTTCCTGATTGGATTTCGTTCGATCAAAATTCAAACCGTGTATTTCCCACTTTACTCAGAAAGTGACTAGCCAGTGGCTCAGCAGCACAATAGCTAGAAAGCCAACTTTTCCACAAAAAAAGGTCACCAATAGCAGCCCCTGTATTTTTCTCATGTTGAGTATATTTTTAATAGGGACAATTCATCCAGGCCAGTTAAGCAGGGTTAAATGTCCATTTCTGCTAAATCATTTTAACATTGCAATTAAATTTACAATATTGTGATGAAAGTCCAGGCTGGAGTCTGTTAACATTTCAGTGGGTTCCCCTCTGCACTGGGGTTGGAATAAGGTTAAATACTTACCTTATTCCTTGCTTCCGAAGCTGCTTCCTTTCACTGCCTGATCGGTTGCAGTTGTTTGATTTTAGCATGTACAATGCAACCCCAAGCGTCTGCCCACATCCTGGGAGTGTCGGCTGCTGGGGCTGCAAGGAATAAGGCACGTAGATCACGTTCTTCATCAACTCCTCAAGGAGAAGTTACCTCTTGCAGTCAGGAGGGGGACCCACAGAACGGGTAACTTTTGTCTCCAACAAGGAGTTCCGTTTTATTATATTAATATTTAAGAAATTAGCATTCATTCCTCCAGTGCCCACCCAACCTGAAATATTGGTTTTGATCAGAGTTGGTCTTTAATCTTGTGTTGTCCCACAATTATTTATTTTATTAAAAAAAATCGGTATATTTATTTGGAATGTTATATTTACATGGCCACATTTTTAAGTTTTACTGGTGCAAAGGCTCCATTGTTTAAGCAAGTTTAATATAAACACAAAATTTGTAGTTTCATGATCAGCTACTGGCACGGAAAGTCTTTTTCCTACTGAAGCATGAAGATGCCAGTTAATCTTGGTCTGCTTTTATTTAAGTTAATCCATATGGTCTCAAGATGAGGTCATAGATCTATGTATATTGTTATGCAATCACTACAGTAGCGGTTTTCAACCAAGTTCGAAGAAAATATAGTTGTCTTACTGCTAGATGTTAGTATTTTTACATGCTTATTTATCTTCTGCTTTTGTCTTCCAGGAACTAATAACCACACTGTACATTGGATTCCTGGGCTTAATCTTTTCTTCATATTTTGTATACCTTGCTGAAAAGGATGCTGTTGACGGTTCAGGAGAATACCAGTTTGGTAGCTATGCGGACGCCCTGTGGTGGGGAGTAGTAAGTAACTGCATTAAACTTGAGCTGAACCTGTGGGCTCTCTTTGTATAAAGTAGCCTCAGATCCTTATAGCAGGAATCTCCATCCTCGAAACTAGCCTTAAAGATTTGGAGGGAGGGTACAGGAAAGAACCACTACTGTATATTTGGTGTAGTATTAGAACTAAACCAGAGGTTTTTGTTGCAGGATTTGAAATATACTCCTCAGTACATTCCCAATTTTGTAGGTAAATTGAGATAACGCCTACTTTTATATGTTTTACACGCTCTCATTCATATAGCATAACTTTAAAAAATTGAGAAGAAATTAGAAAAGTTTTTCTCTAAACCGATTTTTTTTCTCTGGAATGCAAGATGGTTAGGAAGGTAATTATTAACCTAATTAACCCTGTCTGTGCTGTGCTGGTAGATCTCATCAGTTGTATACTAGATTTAGACACGGTTTGTCCTAACAAAGGGATACAGATCTAGAAGCATTGAATGTTAATGAGAGGAAGCTCAGTCTGTCCCTAGTCTTTCTGGGAACAGACAGTTTCCTGTCACTGGAAGCACAAGCCAATTAAACAAAAGAAAAATGGATGCTGCCATTGCTGCCCTCCTTTTCAAAAATGCTAGTTGTTTGGCTGTCATGCTGGCCCTCTGACTTGGTACTAGTTGTTTTAGGTCATCAGTAGCTAGGCAACTAGCATTTTCAGTCAGCAATGGCATCTTGTGTTCTTCTCAGGAAAGGACTACTTTAAACCCAATTGAACTCTCATGTAAAGCTCTGACAATAGCTTCTTAGTACAGAATAAGAGTAAGTGATCAGTCTTACCGGTTATGTTGAACAGATAAATAAATATGCAGTGCTCGTATTTATCTGTTTACTATTGGACCTAGTGCCTAGGTTGCAGCAGCTTTATATTTATTATTTATATACTATATCTATTCACTAATTGGATTGGAGGCTTTTTCCTAAGCGCAGATTTTGACAATATACTATTACCGGTTATTTTGCTGGTAAAGCAGCCACAGCCATAGTGAAAAGCTGGTTCCCCGCCATCAAGCTGCAGGACAAAACTACTGCTCTCTGTGTGGAAACAATAGCCCTCTCTGCAATGGTCCAACATACACCCTATGAGTCAGGGCTATAGCTTTCAATTCAGCAAAGCTTATGGTCCCTGCTCAGGAGAAAGCATTCGCTCTAACAGCGGGTATCTTGGACTTCTGCTCCTTTTGAAGTAGAATTTCAGCTTAAAGTTTAGTAAGGGGTCAGCTCATCTTTTTAGAATATTCTACCTCACTTCCTGTCTAAGCGATTGGTGCTGTCTGTGCAGAAAGTAGTGGGAAATTGCCTTACCAAAATTCAATCAATTTATTTTCCACTTTCTCCAAAGTCTTGGCCTAAGGTCTACTTAAATTGTAAATGACACGATGAACTTTAAGATATTACATTTATAATCAAAGTATTTAAAGTGAAATTGTGCATTGCTCATGCAGGGCAAAGCAACTGGTTCACTTAGCTGTCACCGTCCACACAAATGCACACACTTCCCTTTTCCTTCAATGCCTCATCACTCCATTCAGTCACTGGGAGAGATGAAGAGAGTTGCAGCTTGGACCTTACTCAGGACTGAAGACATTCTTCCTGTCTCCAGATGACAGTGCTGGGTGCCTGAGCAGCCAGTCACTAAGCATCAGATCTGTGGGAGAAAGAGGGTGAGTCATATGCTGTCTCCATACCTGAAAGTATCTGGTATTTCTCTTTATTCCTACCTGGCGGTATGCTGTGAGGAAGGCATAAAGGAAAGATGAGTAAGTACTGCTATGGAGGGTGGCACAAGTGCATGTTTATTTTAAAGGACTATTCTTATCCGTATCCCCCTCATTTTCCATGCACAGTGATCTAAGTTCTTGATTCAGATTTGATAAACTGAAAACACAACTAAACCCTGGTTTTGGGATAACTTTATATGGATGGCATAAGTAGTAGTAGCCCTGGGTGTCCTTTCTATATCTTTCTTAAATTATTCATTTTTGTACTAGGTTACCGTTACAACCATCGGTTATGGAGACAAAGTTCCTCAGACGTGGATTGGGAAAACCATAGCCTCTTGTTTCTCCGTCTTTGCAATCTCTTTCTTTGCATTGCCAGCGGTACGTTCCCAGGTTGTCATGTAGCTGTCTGGAGATGTGTAATGTTAATGTATCAGATGCCACTTTACTCGCTTCCTAGTAAAGTTTTATGTTGGCTTCATAATCTGAATGAGGCCCTGTCTCAGAACGTGTATTTGCTTACATGGTTTCACAGGTTCTTATTTACTTACTCGCCTATCTTTTGTCCTTCAGGGTATCCTTGGCTCTGGTTTTGCCTTAAAAGTACAGCAAAAGCAGCGTCAGAAGCACTTTAACCGCCAGATTCCAGCTGCAGCATCTCTCATACAGGTAAAATGAGCTCTACGTGGCTTTAAGAGACAGCAGTCACAGCCCTGATCTATAAGGGCTCATGTTGATGGGTAATTTTTTTCAAACTCTGTGTATCCTATTTAAATGCAATTCATGTGTTTAAATGGCAAACACAGCATTTGACAAAAGAAGACTGCGTTTAACCTGATTTTGCTTGCAGTTCAAATGCACCTCAATAAGTTATGCTGTGTCCAAAGAGACACAGGGCAACACAAAGCAAGTCAAAAGGCGCCTCTGACTTGCCATGTGTACTGCTCAATTAAAGTCTGTTGGATTGGCAAATGTAGGAAAACAGTGGCTGTTGACAGAGGTGTGTATGTATGTATGTATGTATACAGTACATGTGGGTATGTTGCTTTATAAAGGTTACTAAGGCAAGTTTTATGTGTGAAAGATTGTAAATACTCACCTTTTTCTGCTGCCCATGCATCTGACACTGCTCTGATCTGGAAAAATGGTCCCCTAACATTCACTGGGAAGCTTCAGTCTTCTAGGTCCCTTGAAGTGCTCACTGGTTGTGCTGACCTCTACGCCACAAACCAGCTATAGCTGCAGGGAACCCAGAAAAGGGATACTCCCAGTTGACTTTTGGTACCATTTTACTTCCTTTCAAGACGACATGTAAAAGGAAATCCTTCCAATGGGAGCACAGACAGAAAGATATTTTTAGTAAAGAAAATCTTATCTGTTCCCCACGCCATCCAAAACTAAAAAAATAGGCTTTAACAAGGATGTTACTCATTTTGCCTTTAGATATGGAATATATAAAATTCATTAGAAACTCATAAATTGCTGTCAGGTTTTGCTCCTACTTTTTTTTATTTTTTTGAGGTTAGTTCATGTGCAAGGTTGGATGAATGGGTGCTTTGGAGTTAAGGGAGTCTATTCTTAACTGTGTTCATCAATAGTGTGCTATATGCGAATTCAGCTCTGTGTGATATTTACTTCTAACACTAGTGTCCTCTGTGTTCCAGACAGCATGGAGGTGTTATGCTGCAGAAAACCCAGACTCTGTAACATGGAAAATGTACATCAGGAAGCCCTCACGGAGCCAACAAATCATGTCACCTAGCCCCAAACCCAAGAAAATAGTAATGGTAAAGTATAACTCTTTTAATTTCCATAAGAATTGGAAATGGAGCAGGAAAGTAGACTTGTAAAAGCACTGATAAATGTGCTGTATGAGTTTACCAGTTGGGTGCCAAAAATGTGTTCCTTTACTATACAGTTCATTTAAACAGTTCAACCACTTCATTGTGCTTAAATGTATATCTTAAAGTGGACCTTTAGCCCCTTTCACTAAAATTCACGTCAGCATGCAGCTATGAAATCATCTTACATTCATTAGTTAAATAAACATTTTCTTTTACTTACAATGATTGTTTTTCCTGGTCGTCTTAGGCATTATTGATGTTGCCCATGCCTAATAGACGCATCCTGGGAAAGTTACATCACTGTACATTGCTGGGAAATCTCATCTGTAAACTGCAAAATCTTGTGAGATCTCAGGCATTTTTTCCCCTGAGATGATGTGCATGGTCACATGTCCTAGTCACATGTGCCAGAGTTCCAGGAAGTAAAGGGAGATGGATTAATCTCCCTTTAGTAAAAATGACCACTGTGAGAATAATGGGGAGGAAAAGAAAAATAAGACGTGCAATTATTCATAAGTTTGTTTGTAAATTTGTCATTACTAAACATTTCTATAGGTGCATTTTTTTTAAATTAAGGGTAAAGTTCCGCTTTAAGAATATACTTAGATTCTGGCAGATTGTAGCTATTCATCGTTGTGTCTTCCCATTTGTGGCCTTGGTACTTGTGAGCCTGTGTTTGTGACACAGCTGAAGTCCTATATTAATGGGAAGGAGCCCATGTGTACAGTTCATGGTCATGTGAATACGATGAAAGTCAGAGTGGTCATAATGAAAAGGCTCTTTGCAGAGTGTTTTTTCTGCACTAAGCCTTGTTCTCAGTATCCTGGCGGATCATTTTTTTTCCAGATGTGTGCAGTTCATGTTTGTTCCTGTGAATGATGCATCTTACTTTGTAATACATTTATAAATGGTACAAAAAAAGTGTATTTTCTAATTTTTTGTCATGGACTGTCAGGTAGCTCAAAGTCAAGCTTTTAATTGTAAATAGCCTACAAAATGCTTCCTGTTCCTCTTTGCCTATGATTATCAGTTAGGGCAGTGCTTCATTGCAGCCCACAGAACAGTTTGTCCCCAGGCCTTTACCAAGAATAGAATGACAGAGAGATGGAGATTAAGCTTGTGTGAATACATTCTTATTGTCATCATTAATCATCAGTCATTGCCTAGCTTGGAACAGACCATAAAGGTGGAACAAAACCGACCACTGTTATGTCCCCAACCCATGCCAATCCATTTATACGGTCCCCGAAACCGAAAAAAGTTCTTATCTGTGTTACCTGTTCTGGGTCAGTGACACGTACAGAATAAAGCAGTGATGTCTGCATTGTAGTCGGGTAACTAGCATTTTCAGAAGGGGGGGGGGTTGGGGGGGGGGGGGGTCCAATGGGTAGGCCCCACCCTGGGGGGGGGGGTTACCAGTGGTAGGCTCCACACATCTCTAATGACTGGTTTCTCATGAAAATTAGTAATCTTGCATTCATAGAGTAATGGATAAGCCCATACAATGGCTGCTTGCATATGTAATGTAAGAATGTGTCAAATTATAACCCTGGCAATGTTTATAGGTTAAAAGGAAGAAAATGCGCACAGAAAAAGAGGAGGGCTCCACAGAAAAAATGTTAAACATTCCTCATATTACATACGATCATGTGGCAGACGATCGAAAAAATGACTACTCAGTGGAAGCCTATGAGAATACAGGTGATTAAAAAAATCCGATAGCCAACCAGTTTTTGTCGTCTTATTTCATGCTTTCTACAGAAATAAAACAGCTGTTTAAAGGGCATTTCCTGTCAAATAGCTTAGCACAATGATAAAACATGTGGAAATGGTTTTACCTAACAAAACGGTAAACATTCTTGAGATCCTGCTATCCTGGTTTGCTCTGGGGTTGTTTGGCATAGGAAAGTGGGAACCCTTTTCGTAGTCTGTAATTCTCCTTGAACCCGCGCCCTTTTTTCTCCTCCTGTCTGCTTCTTTGGACGATCACTGAGCGTCCAAAACTGGTCATGTCCACCGTGGACTCTCCCCCTTTGTGAGGCTCTCTGAGGGAAAAAGTATAGATGTGCAGTAAATACAACAGCTAAAGTGAAACAAGATTTTCTAGATTTCAAAAGAGTACATTAGTGTAATACTGTATGTTTGCCATAGTAATTTTCTTTATTATGGTCACTTGTGAACTGAAGCCACACAAGCCAGACACATGAACTCTTTAACTTCAGTTATATTGTCGCTTACAGGAGGATTGGTGTAAAAAAAAAAAAATTCCAGTCCTGCATAACCCCTCCTACAACCAACAGGCCTCATTTTTTTGCTAGTGTTCTAGGTGGATGGACATTTTCATCACCTTTTCACCTACCTATGTCACCATGCAGATTAATAGACCCATTTGTGCGCCTTTGGGGTCTCCTGGACCTGGCATTGTCCTAGCTCCTGTACCAGGTTTAGTCTCAGGAGCTGTATCCCAACCTGATCACTGTGCTCTCTCCCAGAGAACATGTCTATTTTTTCTGGGACCTGCAAATCCAAAAGTTTTACATGGTATCCACTAAATCTAAAATCCCTTTCCAGAGGGACTCTGATCTCTGTGGTCAGCTAGGGTATCGCCACCCTTCAAGGGCTCTTGTTATTCAAACTTGTCAGTCTTAACCTCATGTCTTCTCCATGGCGCTGGCCCCAGTGTTTGCCTGAGTGCCTTCTCATGGCACCCCCACTGTAGGATATATAGATGATACATTGTGCATAATACAGTCAGCATGGTCCCAATTGGATAATATCTTCCTGTTTGTCCTGGTGTCTGCACAATTCAACTGGATCTTGTATCATCAGAAATAGGCACTGGGAGCTTCTCATCACCTGCAGGCAGCTTAAAACAGGCTGTTTCTTTGGCAGCAGAATCTACAGAGCATTTGCTCTCATGTCCTAGTCCTTCAACCAGTGAAATATCTCTTAGCTGTTGTGGAGGAGCATTGTGGGCCAGTTGGTCACCCTCTTTGTGACACTTTGAATTTGAATAACTTTGCGCCACAAACAAAACAACCTAAACATCAAGCACTAATCCAACAAATGGCGGAATAGGTGAAAAATATAAAAAATGTGCCATGCTATATCTCTCTAAACAATGTGTACGAAAATAACCTCTAATGTGTCACATAGAAGTGAATCTAATTATAAATTATATAAATTCACATCAATACATGAAAACTTTCTTAATAAAGTGCATAAAATATGTGCAAAGAAACGTGTTAAATATGAGTGTCCCAGAAATGAATAAAGTTCAACGGTGCATATGTAGCTGCAACATGAGAAGTTCAACGATGACTTCGACAATCACCAATCACCCACAGGCGTGCTGCTCCCCTTATTTGTCGACCTTAGAACAAGGTCAAACAACGCCTATCCCCTTTCACCTAATAGGGCAGGAAGGCCTCAGATGGCTGCAAAGCTGGAATACAAGCAAACACTTTCTCCTCCTTGGTAACGACCCACTGTATCATGTCTGCCCAGACGATTATGCCAAAGCTTCCAGGGTCTAGGTGTGTGTATATCCCTCAGAGTTCCAGGTGCTTATGGATTGGTGTTCTCCTTTCTCTATTTGGAATATGGTTATGGTTACAGTTCACTTCGGTTGTGCTAGCGGTTGTTTTCCATTGCCCCCCCCCCCTCAGTTGGATTGCTTG